AAAAAAAAAAAAAACACTTGAACAGTATATATGACACATTGGAATGGGGGCGCAACAGATTGTGTGTCATTTTCTTGTCGCAAAACACATCGTTTGACGCTTGATCATTCATCATTTTAGCTTTAATCATCGAGAAGTCCCGGTATTTACACACCACAACACCCCGCGCCCTCGTTTTTACACGTGCGCACATACTACGAACAGTGCCCAACAAAAGCACTGACGCTACGATCGACCGGGCGGTAAAATGAAGCCAGTCAGGGAAGCAACAAATGAAGCAAAGAAGCACAACAAAATCCCCGGATAAACAGACATCTACAAAGGCAGCGGCGGCATCCTTCGGAACACCATACATACCGACTCTTAGCACACATTACGTGGGGTTATTGTACTTGGATGGCCGGCTTACGGTGCGACTTGAACTTCTTTTGCTCTTTGACTGCCTCGGCGCCCTTCAACCCTGCGTCGTACACCGTGTGGAAATTGGCTACCTTCCTGCAGAACGTTTGCACTATTGCTAGGGTCAAGTTGTCGTCTGCCGCGAAGCTCTTGGGAACACTCTCTCGCAAGCACGCGATAGTGTACTTGCCGTGCCTGTGGAGCCACCACTTGGATCTACCCGACACAAGCTCGATCGGGTTCAACTCGCAGTGGAACTTGGGAAGCATGAGCGCAACCCCTCCGTGGCACTTCAGCAAAACCTTTAGGCTAGATTCGACCTCTTGAAATCCTTTTGCACGCGCAACACCGCCGGCATGCTCATCTTTTCGTTAGGCCTCTGGCCCTTCTTGCCCCACGCAATGCTCATCCCCGCGATCCAAAGCCCCCTCTGAAACAGGATTTGCTTCATCCCCTTGACCTTGCCTACGTGATCGGTGGCGCCCGGTTCGTAGAACGGGTTTTCTCCCTCTGGCTGAAATGTGAGGTGCTGCACCGCTCCTTTCTTGAGTTTGGGTGTGTTTTCCGGTACTGTATGGTGGTAGCATTCTGAGGAGCTATCTCCTGCCCCTTGCTCTCTGTATCTATCCAACATTGCACGCAAACTCTTCCGGCCGAAGCTTCCCTTCGGTCGGCCAGTCCCTTCATATGCTGGGCGTTTTGGAGGTGGTGTGAGGAACTCGGTCGCGGGCTGACAGTCTCGCGGCCTTTTCTCCCGCGAAGGAAGAGGGGGGGTGTCGTTGCTCCCGCGCCTCGCATCTTCTGCGGAGAAAACGACGCTGACGCTTCAAGTAGATGGACGCCAGGCAACAGTCCACTTTGCCTCGGCCGACCAGTCACATGCCTTGGTTTGTCCCTTTGGGTACTTGATGTAGTCGCTGCGCCAGCTGCGGCTGGTTCGATCCGACAGGTCTGCTGTCAGCTGGAGACGATACTTTTTCGCGCTCTTCACTTGAGATACAGCGGTCAGCGTACTACCACGCCTAGTCAGGGCGTCCCTTATGTCCGTCAGCGCCTCAAGGCGAAGCGTGAAGGTCATGGGGCGTGCAGGGCGTCCACCGCTAACTTTCTTGTTTGTCAGTCGTTGGGGTTGCTGTGGACAATTTTTGAAAAAATCGGTTTAGGTTTTTTGTCGGGGCTTCCCCCCAAAGGTTCGGAATGGAACCAACGCCATAGTCTAAAATAGAACGGAGAGAGAGCTTCAATTACCTGCAACTGTTTTCGGTCGCAACCCCGTAGTTGTCGAGATGTGGAGGATTTGGTGGGGTGAAGTACCTTCGGTGGTGATAGCAATAGGCCCAAAACTTTTGATCCAGAGCGTTGCGACCCATTTTGAAAGGCTTTTTCGAACGCCGCTGGCGAGAGCTTTCCAACGCATAGACTATTTGTTTGTCGCTCATTTTTTGGGGATGATTTTCTTTTTAGTTCCGCCCCAAATCGGCCTGACAAGTTCCGGCACTTGTTGTTGTTGTTGTTGTTGACTTCACATTAAACCGTATGCCAGTTGCTAAATGCCAAAATCTAGCAAAGACTCTCGGCCCGTGGTCACGAAAGTGCTAGAGCCATCTGAGGATCTAAAGAACACGCACACGTAGCAAGAAAAAGGTGTACAAGAGCCCGAAGAGGTACTACTACACCTATATATAATCCCTGCAGCACCGTACGCGTGCCCAAAACTGAACTACACGTCCGTCTCACCGTTCGACTACAGCAACATCACCCCCTACTTGTCCCACTCTGTACCAAAACGAATGATTGCCGACTACAGCATACTTGCTGTCTGAAGTGCTGTCTGTACAAAAACACCATGGCACTGCTGTAATAAAAATGTGAGAAACAACAACAACAAAATCTTGAAAATGCACTGCTGCTGTCTATGTATCTATTGTAGATACCTCGTGTGCACAGCTCTCCCTCTCTGTCTGTTTCCTTGTCCCCACAGTCAAGGTGTATGACGACAATGCTAGTCACTCCTAAGTGTGGCCAGCGAGATTGATCTTGGGGGAGAGAAGCCCGCTGTCCATGCCGTGCGCTCCTACATACAGCACGTACTTGTACCTTGTTATTAGTTAGACTCTACAGCAGCTATCCCGCCCACCACACGCTCCACCACACACGCTGCAATACATACTTGCATACCATCGCCCCGGTGGTCTAGTGGGTAGCCTCGCAGCCTGCTATGGGCCAGGTCATGGGTTCGAGTTCCGGCAGAGAGAGTTTTTTTCTCACTAAATAAATCCTGGTCTAGGATGAAAGCGACGCGGTGCAAAGCTCGTTTGTTAGTAAACCATAATCGACTTCGTAAGTCGCGAGGGAAGGGATTGCTGTACCCTTCTCTCGATAAAAATACCTCAGGCATTAACCGCAGGAGGGGGTCCAACCCCCCCCTCCTATGTGACCCCGGTTGGGTCGTCTAGCTAGTAGAAGTGGAGCATAGGGGCCAGAGGGGCAGTCGACAGAGTCCAATGATGGGAGAAAAAAAAAAAAACACCCAACTGCAACATGCGTTGCGTACTTGAAGGTCTCAAGTCTCAAAGACCACACCATATTTTGTTTACACTCAAGATTGAAAAAGCGAGGTCACTTGTAGCTGCTTGGGGCACAGCAGAAACACGGGTTGGTCACACGGTGCTGCTGTAACAACGCTGATGTGTAACACATCATGTGTATGGCGCGGCCATACGTACGTGTATATATTTTTCCTAATGCGTGATAGTTCAGCGTCCTGGGGCTATTCGCGAATAGCCCGTTTTCGTACGAGCTGACGCAGAACCAAACGGAGACCTTTCTGCTGACAAACCAAACACCGAACAATCAAACGCACACGAAACACAAAACCCTAGCACGGGCACAGGGACAGATTATTCCCTCCTAGATGCGACTCAAAGGTTTTCCTTCGAGATACATCGAACGCGTCAGCCGAATAAATGTGAGAAGAGAGCAGGCAATTGGTACACACCGAAAGGAGATTTTGACGCATTGGGGATTTTCTTTTTTGGCTGACTGAGAAGAAGCAAGTCCGCTCGAATCTTGAGCGCCACGTTGTACTTTGCATGCACAGGAGTATCTGTTGTACTTTGAATGCACAAGAGTGTCTCCACAAGTTCGCTCGTTTGTCCTCATACCTCTTACCTCGTTACCATCCAACAGGTTCCCCTGGGTGTCAGCGGCGTTCTCCTCAAGAGTAGCCAGGTCTTTTCAAGTTTCTTTATTCAAGGCTCGCACACGGGTAGTCTAACTTTCAGCATCACAGCAGGCGGCTTGGAGAGACACATCTATCTGGTGTTGCCGGCAGATCGGTTGAACCATCATGTTCCGACAAGGAACCACTGTCCGTTTGATGTCTAAACAGACAGACTCGCCATGTTGCCTCATCCCCGCCCAATCGCTACCCGACGCATCGATGCCGTGCCCTACCCTTGGCCTTTCCGTTCACAGTACAGCCGTCTGCTGACGATGCACGCCACCAAGCACCGCCGGTCAGGGCGTTGCTGGCCAAAAAAAAATGCGGAACGACCACAGCAGATGCCGCGGGCAGCTGCCGACGACAAGACTCGCCTGCTCGACGACGACACCATCAACGTGGTCGCTTCCTTCGCCAGCTGCCACGACCTGTGCGTCCTGGCGGAGGTTTGCCGGCGCTTCTCCCCCCTGCCGTTCTGCGACGACCTCTGGGAGCTGCGCGCCCTCGACATCCTCCCCTCCGTTCCGCAGGTACACTCCGCCATGTCCCAGCTCAAACTGACATCGTTCCGTCAGCTAGTGGAAGCCTTCACGTTGATCGGTATACCGGGCGGCGTCCTCGGATTCTGGCAAGCGGAGGCACCAACCCTTGCCTGGGACGTCCAGCAGCAGCAGCAGGGTGGCCTCGATGGGACCACGGTTCAGCAGCCCGAGGCGCGAGGAGAACTGTTGAGGATCACGCTAGAGGCGGGTGGATTTCTGTGCGAATCTATCGCGCCTAGCGGCACCCGACGGCGGTGAGCAAACAGGGGATGGATAGAGAACGGCGCGATGTTTTTTACTTGTACAAAAAGACCATGCATTCGAGGAAGAACCACAGCAGTCGAACGGTATGTGTCGGAGTCTTTGTTCATGAAGTACATACATCGGTGCAACGGATTTCTGTTCGAATACTGCTGTAGAGAACGAGGAGGCGCGTAGAAGCAAGAACGGGATTGCTCTCTTCCATTTGCTCTTTAGTGATGCAGAAACTGCTGTCTACAGCTTGTAAATACACAAAACAGAAACAAGTTCAATGAATCACTAAGCAGTGAAAAAGAATGATTTATGCTGTCTCAGCCCATTTCCTTGTCCGTTTCATGATGGCTCGTTTGTGCTTCGTTTTTTTGTCCTTTTATCAGGCTAGTTTCTCTTCGCTTTAACCTTTGTGGGCAGTAGACCGTTGACCATGGAAGGTACCCGCGTCAACCGAACCGGTTCGGATGTTAAAATGTCTTCACAGAGACTATTAATAGCCGGCACGGTTCTTTATTTTTTCAATCCAGAGCACCAGGTGGCCACTCCAAACAGCGTTGTTGAGCCTGAGCCAAACAGCAGAGTAATACATAGCGATCATTGTGCTGTCGTACGCGTATGCATGTTTCTCTGGAGAATATTAGTGCATGTGAACCCAGGTATGATATGGCACAAACATTACATTCATCCTTAAATTCTGGTAGCACCTTATCTGCGCATGGACAGACATGAGGGTTTGATTAGTTGCTGTTGACATCAGCGTACAGCAACGCGAAGCAGTGCTGTTGTCAACATTTTTTTTTCAGAAGGATTGCGTCGTTGTATTTTGGATGAGCACACCGTGAGGGTGTGGTCGTCCCACTAACGCCTGTTTGCGTACAAGATTCACCGAGCATGGCACGCGATCGTCGAAGTGTACGCAGACACAAAAAGTAGGAAATCCTGATATATTGTAGTTTGCAGATGATCATTAAGTGCTGGTCGCGGCCTTGTTTGCATTGTTTAACGTCTCGCGGTAGCGTCACAATATTACTTGGAAGCATCTGTCACTCCTGAGAGATGGCTCGACATGTTCGCTACTTGAGCTTGCTGGTGCTGGTCGATGCACTCCATTTCATTGTGTTTCGGAGCTTGTGCGATGTGGTGCGATATCTCCATGTACGCGTCTTGCCAAACCGAGAGAGATTGTTTGACACCAGTTTTTTGGACCCTGTGGCCCCTGCAACGATTTATGAAGGCATGCATTGTTGTGTGGGGTATGTATCGAGTTGAATAATCTTTTTTCGCGGTATCGTGTAGGTTTTGCTTCAGTTGCGAAATCCAGCACTAGTTAATCCGAGAGTTTGTAAGGCGGACGACACGACACGTGACACCGCGTAGCCAATCTCGTCTCATGTTTGTGAAGATTCAGGCGCACCACGGCCAATATGGACGCAAAAACATGCTCCGTTTTGTCGTCTAGCGGACACGACCGCTCGGCGAGCTGGCCGACTAACGAAACAATCGCGGCTTGCTGTTCATGACACGGACTTGACAGAAAACCTTGTCGGGTTTCATGAAGGCCAAAGCTCAAAAAGGCTGGATACCCAAGAAGCGAGCTACCACTGTTCATGTACATGCATCACTCACCCATTGTCATGTGCGCCTACGGCGTGCCACACAACGCAGACGCGAGGGCGTGAAATCACCTGAACGTTGTTGTCGTACCCCCCTCCTCCCCCTCGGCAGCATTTTCACCATCCGAGTTTCCAAGACCCCGACCGGCCGCATCAAGATTGGCTTCTTCTGCTTGGAGAAGGAGTCCGCCCTCACCATCGGCGGAGACAACGACAGCTGGGTGCCCGGAGACTCCATGGCGGAGGCCCTGGCGCGCTACACCTTTGCCATACCGGGAAGCACGAGGCGGACCCCGATCCGCGCCTCGGGCACGAAGGCGTTCTTCCTCGAGCGCAACGACGGCCGCACCTGTCGTTACGTTAAGCTCACGGCCCCGCCAGCGTCCTCCCCGGGGGGGGCTGCCGCGGGGGCGGTCAAGAACCTGTGCGGGCTGTGGTGCGCGCCGTATGGCAGTCACGGGCTGGAGATCATTCAGCTCTCGACGGACCCATCTTGCTCCCCGAACGAGGAAACGGCGGCCGCGGCCGTAAAGGCAGCGACGGTCGTGAAGCTGTCTTCCCTCTCGCAGTCCTGGGCGGGCGGGAGAGGTGGGCGTCGAGGCTCCGTCTCCGGCTCCAGCACCAGCAGGGTGACGGACGGCAGCGAGAGCGTGTGCACGTCCACGCCCGCCACGGACGCGGACGGCAGCGAGGCGGACTCCTGCGACGAGGCGGGGGGTTCATCAGAGGCGGCCGGCGGCGGCGGCGGCGGCGGTGGTGGCGGCGAAGATGACAGCAGCGACGGGCACGGCGACATCGAAAGCGTCCTCGACGACGGCTGCTTGGCCTCGATCGCTAGGCGCAAAGGAAACAGCCTCCATCATGCTGACACTGCTACCGCCGGCAGCGGCGCCGGCGCCGGCGATGCTAGCGTTCCCTCCCAGCTGTTCGGCTTCAAGGTGACCGGAGACGACAACGTCCCCGCCGGCAAGACCTCTTTCGTGATTGACCTCTCGACGGACTTCGACGTCGACGAGGAGCTCCGGTCCGACTCGAGACCCGTCGTGACCTTCCTCCCCACAGGGGCCGTCATGGCCAACCTGGCCAACAGGCGCCAGCAGATCTCGTGCTGGCGCAAAGGCCGCGGACAGATCAACCGAGTGCCCGGGCGGTGGTCGCCAGAGTGGGTGGACGTGGAGTTCGTCGAGTACAGAGCCGGGTCCCGGTGCGCGTTTTCCGTCATCTTTCGGCAGCCCAACCAGGCGGTGAGGGTGGTGATGGACTTCGAGAGGGCGCTCGGTTGCGAGGAGGAGTGGCCCCAGTGGTCGGCCGCCGCTCCCGCTTGCGCTGCTGCTGCTGCTGCTGCTGCTGCCTCGGACTCGCCGTCGACGTCTGCTGGCTCCGGGAGTAGCGTCGCATCCAGTTTTGGTATTGTTTTGTCGCAGCAGTAGTGCGGCAGCGTCGGTGCATGATGCTGTAGGCGGCGCTCTGCGACACCGCTTGGTTTTTGTAACCGCGGGCAGCCTTCATTAGAGTGCCTCTCATCTTGTTGAAGAATTTTCGAGTAACTGGAGATATCGTGCTTGGGGCTTGTGTCGCTTACAATGAGCCGGCAGCTTGGGGTCGAGTTGTTGTAGATGGTATTGTCCATCAGCGAAGCATCTGCTGCACCCTGCAGGGGCTCTCGGCTGTTTGAACGTCAAACCCTAAAGTATCGTTTGTTTTGAAACAGCCTGGTTTTCGTGTTACTAGTCTAGATTTGGTTCAAAATGGCACCTTGTGTTTTTGAAATGTATACATTTGTTCCGTGTGGATCTCGTGTATTTTGGTGGTATGCGCGGCGCTCTCTGTAAGAATCCCTCGTCTTCGTCCATGCGGGAGGCTTGTTGTCGTGTATCACAATTTGTAGCTAACTGCGTTCGAGCGGTTGTGAGTGATGTTGTCGTTGCTGTGTGTCAAGAGCTTTGTGAGTCGGGTGGCGTTTCTCTACCGAGGTTATTCGTTTATTCCAAGCCTTGTTTCCGAAGAACGAGAGCCGGCTGTGCTGCTGTACTAGGTGGTAAAATGGCTGGAAAACTCTCTGTGTGGGTTGGGATTTCGAATCCCGGGGAAGGGCTTCTCGGCATGCAGTATGCAGCCTGGAGCTTGTAGTCTTAATAGGCGATCTAGAGTACACACGAAGGAAGGATGTGCTCACCCCCTCTCGGGTTAAGATATTGATTGACTCCTTGTCCGTAAGAGAGGCAAAATCGACTCAGATATTTGTGTGATACTTGCACACTGCTGTACCTTTGCCGTGGAAACGAAATAAGAAATCTCTTGACCTTCGAAAAAAAAACAGCAATGAGAATCTGGGTTCACGACGTGGGGGGAGGGGGGGGGTGTACTCATGGTCGTGCATGCCGTAGTCGTTAGGCCGTTGACCTCGCATCCCTACAAAGCCGGGACGGAGCACGCCGGGTTCTCACCGGACCAGGCTCTCACATCACCAAGCGCGAAGCGCCGTGAGATATTCGGCGAGTCGCATGAAGGGTGCGCTGCATCCTGCTAAGGGTGTTCGGCATCTTGTGCTTACTTCCTTGCGTACGGATGACAGCTGCGTATGACTTAAGTTACTTTCTGGTGCTTTCACTTCCAGAGACAGTTGTAAGCACTGTGTAACTGCCTCGAGGGTGCTTGACCATTTTAACACAACGTGGTGCGATCATCCCCCTTGCGCGGAGTGAGGGTTCTCCACCCCGCACAACATGATCTACTCGACCACCATTATGGTCACCGCCAAACCAAAACAGAGGTAAAAAAAAAAAAACGGTATCCTGGTTGCCAAGTTCACGTAGTGAATTGGCTTGTTTTACAACGTCATTGCGAAGCCACGAGAACCCAATCCCGATGGCAAACACCAGGGGGGGCGGCGGCTTGTTTTACAACGTCGTTGCCAAGCGACGAAAACCCAACCCCGATGGCATACATCGGGGGGGGGCGTGGGGGGAGGGGCATCTTAAAAACAGGAAATAAACCCCTGGTGTTCCACCTCATACGCTCCACGTTGGCCGCTGCTGTGTTGTTGTCACACTTTGCGGACAACTCGCAGCCTCCGAGCTCGTCGTCGTCGGGCCTGAAAGGCTGTTCTTCCGTGAGTTAGTAGTGGCAGTTTCTGTACGCTCGAGGGTTCGTCCAGTGCAACTGCTGTGCGTGTTGTTCTAGAGCACGATCTCTCTTCATTTCTTTTTTTACTGGCAAGGAAATTTGAAGAAAGAAGTGATGAACGCAACGGCCTCAAAGCATGAGAGCTGAATTTGCATCGCCGCTGGACGGAGCACATGTATGCGTGAACGTCGCATGCCCCCCACACACACTCAAATTGCTGTAGATATGTGTTACGAGAAGTGTACTGTGTGTAAGGGTTTTCTTTCGTGGTCGGTTGAGTCAGGTTTCAATTTTCTCCCGAAAGGGGAAATTTTGAAGTTTTCCCAGACAAAGCGGCGTACCTTTTTTTTGTTTCTTCTCCCATCATTGGACTCTGTCGTCTGCCCCTCTGGCCCCTATCCTCCACTTCTACAAGCTAGACGACCCAACCGGGGTCGCATAGGAGGGGGGGGCTGGACCCCCTCCTGCGGTTCCTGCCTGAGAAACTTTCATCGCGAGAAGGGTACAGCAACCCCTTCCCTCGCGACTTACGAAGTCGATTATGGCTTACTAACAACGAGCTTTGCAGCGCGTCGCTTTCATCCTAGATCTAAGACCAGGATTTATTTAGTGAGAAAAAAATCACTCTGCCGGGACTCGAACCCATTACCTGGCCCTTGGCAGGCTGCGAGGGTACCCACTAGACCACCGGGGCGACCGGTGCGGCCTACTGTGCGGACTATCATGGGGCAAAGCCTACACATCATCAGGTCACGCAAAACATTATTATTATGGAAAATGACGCGTGCTGTTACTACTTACGTGTCAGACATACTACGAGCCGTTACACCGAGGCCCGCAGGTACACGCAAATTTTGCTATAGATCCGCATATCTATCTATTCGACATACCTATTCAACAGGGAGACGGCCTGTCTGTGCTCAACCCCCAATACTACAGTACGGACCCGGAGATATGAAACGTCAAAATCGGGTCGAGCCTCAATCCCTTTATTTGGGTCCAAGGACCAGCCGAACGAAGTCGTCCATTTTCTTAAAACGAATTTCTTATTCCTACTGTCGCAGATCAGCCTCCTGATTGTTTTATTTCTGATATTTCGCCATATACCTCTATTTTCTTATTGGCTAGTCTACATTATAGGAAAATACAACGCAAAAAACACACGCGCCGCATGATTAACCAGAAAGAAACCTCGGTGTGGCGAAAATATCCATCCCCAACTAAACTAACTCTCCCCCCTCCAAAATGATAATAATAATGTTGTTCTGCAAGGTAGGGGGCACGGAAGGAGCAGCAGTGGGACGTATCTTATTGGACACGCTCCTCCAGCTACCCCTTGTTTCCAATATCTTGGGGGTATCGTACCGTCATGCTTCTTGTTGGGACGTTTCTTATTATGCTGTGGCCGAGATTGAGCTGTGTTTCTCTGCCCTTTTTTTTCGCAAAAATCTGAGCCTACATATATTTTTCTTGAGCAGGTCCGTCCGCTGTTCAATGAAAGGGCTTTTCCAACACGGAGATAGATGTTGTTGTTGTTGTTGTTGACTTCACATTAAACCGTATGCCAGTTGCTAAATGCCAAAATCTAGCAAAGACTCTCAGCCCGTGGTCACGAAAGTGCTAGAGCCATCTGAGGATCTAAAGAACACGCACACGTAGCAAGAAAAAGGTATCCAAGAGCCCGAAGAGGTACTACTACACCTATATAT